AAATATGTTCATCTAATTATCTTAACATTTCTACTACAAATACTAAATCAATAATGTTAAAATTATAATAATGATATTTACATAACAATAAATCCTAAACTAATATTTACTAAGTAAATATATAACTAACAATAAATTGTAAAATACTTTAAATAATATATTTTTACATTTACTTGAGAGTTTCTTCCGACAAGTTGATGTTATAAAAAAAACCTTTTCGAATTTCTTACTCACTTCTTTTTTACCTGCAACAACATATTAAAACAATATTTTAATAACATTTTCGAAGTAGATATATTTTATTCGAATAATACTTACAGATTATAGATTAGAAGAAAATTTCGTTCAAAAATTTCTCTACTATTTTTCTCGTATATTTACTCTTTCAATTCTTCTCCAGATTTTGCCTCTTCTCTTCTTTCCTCGTCACTACTTTACTCTCCAATTTTCAATCAAAACACCCAATTTTATAACTTCCCTGATATTTATTACAATTTTTCGTTCAACCACCAACCACCAACCTACCTAGTTATTAATGAATAATTAATATTTCCATTATTACTTACATGTTTCCAAGTCGGAGGCAACCTACCACCCTACACTGAAGACGTCGAGTAGTCACGGGGTCTTCTGCATGGCCAACTTACCTGAAGATGCCAAGTAATCTCGTATCCTTTATTTTTGCCTGAATTTCCTAGAGCCTTTGGCCTTGTACCGTAGAAAACACATATATGGGGAATTAATCGGGGAACCACATTATTCTGGGGGAAATTCTTCCCAACCACATTATTTGCCATTCAAATTTATAGACAAAAGATATCTTATTATTTTTGAATTATTTATTATTTAAACATAAAAAATATTTTTATTATCGTATTAATAATTTAAATATTGAATTAAAATTTATGTTAAATATTTAATCACTCTTTCAAAAAAAATATAAAGATAATTATTTAATAACATGTATATCCGTATTTAATGAGATATTATTATTTTTAATATTACACTTTTATATTGAAAAAACTAATATTACAGCTACTTACTTTATTATAATGTAATACTATTTTGAAATGTTTTAATTTTAAAGCTTATGAATATGTTGTCGATGCTATCATTTGTGAGAAAATAAATAAATAAATAATTTTAATAAAATATTAATTTTATGTTTTATTTACAATAATTACTCAAATAATAATTTGAAAATCTTCAAAATCTTCAAAATATTTTATATTTATATGTTTAATTATCTTTACATAAAATAAATAATAAACATTTATGTACGTACACCTACAATACACACATCGATACAACTAACCAAAGTATATTATATAATCACACCATTACAATTTGTTTTCTCCTGCAAGTGCGATCACGTGATAGACAATAATATATATTAATTTAAGTAAGATATAGGATTCAAATTTTTAAAAAAAATGTTTGAGAAAACTTTATCTATTGGTTAGAGACTTAATTTAATATATAATTTGAGTCGGATCCGAATGACTCCTACCAACAAAAATAGGGTAAAAGAAAGAATTAGGTAAATATGAGATTCTTTAATAAAATCTTTAATAATTAGCGTAAATTACTTTCTTACCACTAAACTTTTTTCTCACTCCTATTTTGATCACTTAAGTTTACTAATTTTTAATTTGATTACTCAAATTTTGAATTGCTCATGTTTTGGTCACTCCACCGTTAAATAATTAACGACATTATCAAATGGCAATTTACACCAAAACAACATCGTTTTGGATCCCTAGAGAAAATCAAATATAGACAAAAGTAATATTGTTTTAGATCCCTAGAGAAAACCAAATATAGACCACCGTATTTGGTGAATTCTAAAATCCCCCCCCGAACTCGTCTCTCCCTTATGAATACGAATTTGGTGTCAATGTAATTGAGAAATGCCACAAGCTTTATGAATTTGTCATTGAAAATTTCAATCCATCGAATTGTCACCGTCCGACATCACTTTCAACCAACAATAATGTTGTTCAACTCAGCTTTTCTTCATCTATAAGTATTTCGACTTAGTTCTCATAGAAACTCCACAAAGTCTAAAAAATTCTCTTATAATTTTGGCCTTCTTCTTCACTGGTCTAAGCATCCGATTGGCAGGTCACCACGGTTTTGAGATATATTGTTATCCTCGCTGACATCAACCTTTTCACCTTTAGGGTTCTCCATCTCACCACTAGAGCGTTAATGGCAAAAATAGGATTTATGGCCGAAACAAGTTATGAGATTTATGGTTTGATCATGGTTTAAGGTTTAATTTTTTTATTGATATTTATAGTTTAGGGTTTAATTGACATTTATGGATTTACGTGAAAAGAAGGTAAAAATCAGCTTTGATCGATTGAAATATGCCAATATAAAATTTTCGAGTATAATGGCCATTGACAACGATGGTCGGCGCGATGACCAGTCTAAAAAATTATAAAAATGCTAAGTTAACACACAATTAGATAGATAAACAACTGAACGACCAAAACATGAGCAATTCGAAAGTTAAATGATTAAATTAAATATTTTTAAACTCCAATGCTCAAAATAAGACTGAGAAGAAAGTTTAGTGATGATTTGTATAATTTATCCTAACAATTATGATAATGGAGTTTGAAAAGGAGTAAAAAATGCAAGCAGGTTCCAAGCGTCCTTATCTTTCATTTGTTCCTTTACTGGGCGTGCGGAGCAAGGGAAGAACCTCTGAAAGGAAAACATAAAGAAAACCAAAGGTAAAGGTTATGTTGCTTGATTTCTAAGCGCCCGATGGGGCCACTTTATTTCGAAAAATTCGAAGAAACAATAGCTTAATTTAAGATGAAAACAATGATTTTGGCTGTAATCGAAAATATAAAAAGAATTATTACATTTTAGATTGGACGTAATATAAAATGTTATATTTTTTCTAACATTTTAATTAGACAAAAAATGTTATATTATTCATAATATTTTTTGTTATACTCAACCTAAAATTTTATGAGTTTTATCATATTTTTGATTACGTCCCGAAATTGTCAAGTTTTTAACCTTAAATTAAACTTTCGTACAACAGAAGTATTATTTATTCCGTTCCCTTTTCCTTTTCTTGTTTGATTTCTTTTCATAAACAAGTTTGAGTGGCTTTTCCCATTATCAATTTAAGTTAGACGTTGAATATGATCTTAAAGATTGAAGTTTCTTTTGTCATCTTCTAGTGTTATTCCTAAACGACATTATGACGTGATTAGGTTATAAATAAAAGGGTAAATTACACATTTAGTATTTAAATTATTACTTTTATTTTATTTTGGTACTCAAACTTGATTATTTCAAAATTATACCTAACATTTAGTTTATGTTTCAATTTGGTACCTAGCCTTTAAAAAATCAACATAACTATTGATGTGTCTTTTTTTCCAATGATGACTGACATTATCTTATGGTGACATGTCAACATCGCCGTTAAATTTTTATTTAGGAAGTTTAAATTTAATTAACTCTATATATATGAAGTCACATTCAGAATTTTTTAACAATTCCTATTTAAAAAGAGGGAAAAAGAAATTTTACTCCTAATGAATATTGAACCTATGATATAAAGGATGTGTTAACTAAAAACTTTTAACGATCAAAATTGTTTACGAATCACTCTCAAAATTAAATTTTAAGAACAAGTATAAGAAAAGAATAGCCAATTTGTAGGAGCCGGGGTTCACACCAACCCAACTCATGAGAGTTATTTTTGAATGATTTTTCGATGTTTAGTAATCAAAAGAATCTTAATTAAGTTTAGAGTTGAGTTAATTTGGATTTTGTTTTGAGGATAAAATTAGGGATGTATATTTGATTAAAGTTGATGAGTTTTGATTTGATCTGATCATATAAGATCGCTTTTTTAATATTGAATTCAAATCAAGTCATGTTGGATTTTTTTGAAGGATAAGATCGTGTCGGGTCGAAGTTAGGTTTAGGGTGAAAATTATTTGACCCACTCTGATATGAGAATAATAATATAATTGACCTTTATGTATTTAGGGATAATTACTATAATATATTTCTCTATATATATTTTCAATTAAGTCCATTTTATTAATGATACATATATTTGCATCGGATTAGATTGAATGTAGATTTTTACCTTAAAAATCAGGTATACATTTTTTTTTCTAAATCCAGATACCAGGTGAGGGATAGAAAAATGTTATACTTGGATCAAGTTCGATTGAGCTAAAAACTGAACTAGTCTTAACCCGACCAATGAGCATCTATCGATAAAACTAATCTTTCAGTGATCAGTGCTACCCTCTCCTCCTATAATGTTTAAATTTAGAATCTTATTTAATAAATATCAAATTTCTTATCATTTAACGAAATAAACGAAAATACCTCTATTTGTTTTTATAAAATTTGTATCTTACAAATATGTTTCCATGTTTAGTATAAAACCTTTTATTTCCTAGTAGAAAGTATGTTTGTAGAGGCATAATACTAAAATTAATTGTTTCTCAAAATAATCAATTTAATTTTTATTTTTTTGGGAGTATTTTGACTCTCAACGTTTTATTTAGGGCAAAAAGATCCTTAACGTTTAACCAAATAATCACTTTTGTCATTTTTTTAGAACATTTTGACCATTAACATTTTATTTTAGTATAACAAATACGCCTATTTTAGAACATTAACATTTTATTAACTAATGCTTTTTATCTATAGAGGAATTTTTTTTACCGCAAAATGAAATGTTAGACACTTAAGACTTACAACACTCTTAACAAATAATAAAAGCCAAACTTACTAAGATATTTTTTAACATGATGCATTTGTAAAATACTAAATTGGTTGGGCCATGCTTCGAACCATAAAGTCGGGCTATATGGTTTGAAAATCCAAGCCCAAAACCCTAAACGATTAATTAAAACTAGTTAAGCCATGCCATCCAATTCCAAGCAGAAACCGAATCGAAAACCCTAGCTCCCGAATAATTCTATTGGGCAAGAAAAGAAAACCAGCGAGAAGAATCCACGATGGTGTGCATTCGCAAGGCAACCATGGACGACCTTTTGGCGATGCAAGCGTGCAACCTACTTTGCCTTCCCGAGAATTACCAGATGAAATACTATTTGTACCACATCCTCTCCTGGCCTCAGCTCCTTTACGTCGCCGAAGACTACAACGGCCGCATCGCCGGCTACGTCCTCGCCAAGATGGATGAAGAAAGCAACGAGTGCCACGGCCACATCACCTCCCTTTCCGTCCTCCGCACCCACCGCAAACTCGGCCTCGCCACTAAGCACATGAGCGCCGCCCAAGCTGCCATGGAACAGGTCTTTCCCCTTACCTCTTTTTCTTTCATCGTTTAATAAATATCACCCGTAAATTAGATTGGGTTTACAACTGTGATCAGAAGACGTTTACATTGTTGTTCAGGGGCGAAGCATGAAATTTCATGACTAAAATGATAATTTAATCATTTTAGGGGGAGGATGCAATTTTATCATGTATTAACTTATAGTTTTATGATTTTATAGGGGCTTATGTACAATTTCCCATTTTAAGCTGAGTTTCTCCCCCTGTTGTTGTTACTAATATACAAAGAGATGCAGGTTTTTGGAGCAGAGTATGTTTCTTTACATGTGAGGAAGAGTAACAGGGCAGCGTTTAATCTGTACACCCAGACGTTGGGATATAAGATTCATGATGTTGAGGCCAAATACTATGCTGATGGGGAGGATGCATATGACATGCGGAAGCAATTGAAGGCAAAGCAGAGTCATCAACACAGTCACCACCACCACCATCACCATGGTGGTGGATGTTGTTCGGGTGAGGCAAGAAGCACCCAAGTTACTCAAACAAGAGGGGACTCAAAAATGGAGACGAAAACTAGCACAAAATCCAATTCGAAAGCAGGATGATTACACAGGTAAACACGAGTGTTCGGGTGTTCCTTTTGTTGGATAGATTAAGAGTTCTATTTATCCAAGTAAGCAAAGTGTTCTTCAAAGAAAACTAAACTGATATGTATCAAACCAATAAGAGAATGCTAGATGGTACACTGCCTTTTTCAAGTACTGACATTCGTATCTGAACTTATATCATTGATGAATCTGCTAAGAACTACTCCCTGTTGAGGTGGACGACAATCGGTCCTCTTCTTTCTTTCCTACCTATTATGTAAATGAAGCCATTCTAATAGTCTAGAAAAACTGTTTTCAAGTGACTTGCCCTTGAGTTGATCGGGTGGCTCTTGCCAATAGTTGTAACTGACTGCATCGAAACCTTGTTTGAATCCGCACCCCAGAAGAGATGGTCGCTGGTTTCAGTATCAATTCGACATAGAATATATAATCCTAGGATACCCTAGTATTCTCATGATTGGTGACCATCCTTTGTAGCAAGGACTGCCTGCCAAACAAGTATGTGCCATGGTACTTTGTTATGTACCCTTAATATTTTCCAAACCTCCACTGCCTTTTATCAAGTTCTTTCCGAGCTTCAGATGAAGTTATTCCCCCTGTGGTGTTTCGGAAATGCCCCAAATGGTTAATAAGAATTATTGTTTTCAAAATAGTCCTTTCACCATTAACAATTGCTTAAAGGTGGACCTTCTCTCTGGATGAAGCCAAATGTCTCTTTTGCCATGGCATCAGTATTTACCAAGATTTTCTTTTTAAAAATGCTAGACTGTAATATTTGTGTTTAAATTATATTAATTTTCATTTAAGTTCCAAAGTTTTTTTAAAAAAATCTATGAAATAACTATTTAACATGTAATATACATTTAGTTACTGTTTTTAAAAATAAAAAATAATTTCTTAAAAAAGTTTAAATCCTTAAATTTCCTCGTAGACAACAAAATAAAATTGAGAAAATAACCTCAGTGACCAAAACTGCCTTATAATATACGATTTTAACAATTTTTTTTAGATTTGCCGAAATGACCAACTAAATCGCAATGCGATCGATAATTCGCAACGCGATCTCCGGTATCGCTAATCAGTTTTCAGGTTCGCAACGCGATTCTGACTATCGTATTGCGATTTCCCAAATTCGCGTTGCGATTTTCCTAATTCGCAACGCGAATACGTAAATCGCAACGCGATTCTGACTATCGCAATACTGAATTTCAAATTCGTAACTCGATTTCTGAATTCGCAACAGGTTTTAATTTCGCAACACAAATGTTTTGGGTATATAACTACGCAGCATCAACAACTCATAACCTAAATCCTTAAATCGCAACTCATTCCATCTCCATCTATCACTCTCTCCGGCGACATCCGTTCCTATATCCAACGACATCCTTCCCCATCCGGCAACAGGTTTTAGTTTCGCAGCTCGTTTGTTTAGTAAATTAATTTACAATAATGAAATCATCTAATGTTGATCATGTTTGGATAAATTTGTGTTTTGGAGGGTCATGAGAGAATGTTCATGGTGTTTTACAATATATGCCTTTACCCATGAATCTTCAACTAAAACTGTCATTAAAAAAGTTAATTTATGAAACTCTAATGTTACGTGTTGCAAATAAATTGAATTTAGAGCCCCTAAGTGGATTTAGGCTATCTTATCAGAGAAATGGTAAAGTTTATTTGTTAACCGACAATGAAGATGTTGAACGATTCATTGCTTACATTAGTGTTTCAAGTGATGATGTTACATTGTATGTTGTTAAACCTAGAAATAGTGAAGTTGGGTCAGTAGCGGGTAGTAATCAACTAAGTTTTTCAACCCCAGTTTATGGTGCTCAAAATTTAATGGTTCCACCACAATTTCATCACCAAGCAAATATTGTTTCACCACATTTCCAATACCAAACACAATCTCAAAACCCACAACTTTCCATAATCTAAATCCCAATCAACTTTCAGCACCAAATTCCGGTTTTCGTATTGACCAGTTAGACGATGATGAGCCAACAGAAAAAATTGTGAGTATTATTCAGTATTCGAATTTTGATCTTGGTCAATACCCGGACTTTGATCTTGGTCAATACTCGGATTTTGATGATTTTTCAGAATAAGAAACAGACCCTGCGTGTAATGATTTTGATATTGGTCAATACCCGAATTTTGATGATGAAACAGCCGTTGCCGAGAAAGATGTTGTTGATGATAATGAGGAGGAAGTTACGACTGTAAATGAACATGTTGAACATCCATTCTGTAATTCATATAACACTGAAGAAGAAAAAGAAGAAGAAGAAATCTCCAAAGAAAAGTCCCCGAATAAAATGCCACGGAGTATAACTGGAATATGCCAGAATTACTTCAGATACCGGAAGAAGAGTTGGTAAAGATAACAGTTGATTGTTACACAAAAATTATTCGTATCAAGAAAGATGATTGTTTTGATACAAAGGAAGACTTGAAGATAGCTTTGTATACGAAATGTGTGGAAGATGGCTATCAACTAAAAGTTAACAAATCAAGCAAAGATTGTTTCAAAACAAAGTGTATGATTGACAAAAACTGTATGTGGCGTATGATTGCAAAAAGGATAAAAGATTGCGAAATGTTTCAAGTTAAGATTTTTATTGATAAACATACATGTTCAAGAACCCAAGTTTTTCCTCACCATAGTCAGGCAAACAAAAAGGTGTTGGGTGGTTTTCTGGTTGAGTTAATGTTTTTGAATGGTAGGGTATATCAGGGACATGAAATTATGACTGACATTAATGATCGGTTCAAGATTAGTATCTCATATTCTCAAGCTTGGAGAGCCAAATGTTATGCCTTGAAATTGTTGAGGGGGTCGCCAGAAGCATCGTTTGCCCAACTGCCGGCTTATTGTCACAATTTAAAGCTGAAAAATCCTGGGTCGGTAAATCATATCAAAATAGATAGAGATGGACGCTTTGAGTTGCTGTTTATCGCCATTGGTGCTGCGGTTAGTAAATCAATATAATTTTGTTGACTCATTTTTGTTAGTTACATGCATTTCACATTTAAATGATTATATTTCTTGTGTATATGATTTTGTAGATTCGTTCGTTTATTAATTGCATGCGCCCAGTTATTATAGTTGACGGAGCACATTTAAAAGGTCGATATCTTGGAGTAAACTTATTAGCAGTAGCCATGGATGCTAATAATGGGATACTGCTAATAGCTTACGGTGTAACATCTCAAATTATGGGTTAGTGACCAAATTGTAAAGTTTCATAATTTGATGACTAAAATAGAAGAATGAAATAGTTCTATGATTATTGGATACATATGATGAAGGTTATTTTGTAATTGTTAAAGGAAATAAAGGGTAAAATGGTCATTTGATCATTTAAGGAATTATATACACGTGGGAAATGGGAGAAACATCCAGAGTTCTCTTCTCCTTTCTTCTTCTTCATGCGTGGGAGAGCAAGGCAAAGGTGAGAGTTTTATTAGTTGATTATTATTTGAATTTTAAGCTTGGTTTTGATCTTTAGTTGATGGATAAACATAAGGAAAGCTTGGGTTACAGTAAAAATCAAAGAATGGAGGGGTTAAGAGAGATTAAAGATTTGGAGTTTTTATATGAAACTTTGGAAAAGAATTGATAAGTAAAATTTGAAGTTAAATTTGACTTGTCAATGGTTAAATTAATAGATTTGAAGTGATAGAATTTGATTTTGAACATATAGAAAATTTGATATGATTCTTGAATTACATATGGAAGGTAGGATTTTGAGGTTTAAGATAAAATAAATGAATATAGATTGGTTTAAGTATGTGTACTAGAGTTAAGAATGAAAATGAGATGATATATGAAGTGTTGGGCTGAAAATGAAGTGATTTTCGAGCTAAAAATATGATTTCTGGGCAAGGAGAATCGGTACCCATTCAAGGGGAACCGATACCCCTTCAAACGACAGAATTTCAGAATGTCTTGAGGGAATCGATACCCCCATAGTAGGGAACCGATTCCCCCTAAAGGATAATGTGAATATTGGTTTAATAAGTTCGTTTAAGTTGCTAGTATCCAATTACAAGGTGTAGGTATCTAATGATTGCCTCAAAATGTACATGTATGTAGATTCTACGCATAAAGCAATTCCGGAACGTTTGGCAAGTAAGATTGATCAAGGAAAGATAACAGATCGATATTGACTAGTGAGGCCAGGTGAGTGCGTACTATTAGAATATACGTATTGTGTATGGAAATTTGACTTGCGACAAGTCTGTTTCCAATATGTTGAATATATGATTGTATGATTATGTTTATATTACATGAATATGTTTAGTTGTATTACATGTTAGGTGGTATGAATTTATATGATATGTGTTATATGGCAATGATTTATGTATTATAGGAATTAGATGAGTTATATGAACCTGAGATATAAATTATAGGAGCATGAATTATGTAAAATAGCAATGATTTATATGATAACAAGAGAAAGGATATAAATTACATGAGTTAGATATATATATATATATATATATATATAGGAATTGTATAACCAACTTATGAGATTAGATGAAAAGTGAGATAAGTTAAATAACATTGATTTATAGGGCAATATAAGAATGATATATAAGTGAGGAGACATTGACAGAAGTGATTATATGAACATGTAAATAAGTTATATGGAGAGGATATATGAGCGGAAATGAACATATAATACATGAGTCATATGGTAAAGATTTATGAATCTATAGGAAAATGTTATGGGAACTATGTGATGATAAGTTATGAGAAAATATTTATATAGGTAACAAGCTATGTGATATACTTGGTGTATGAGAATCATATGAGAATAAGAGATGACAATGAGTTACATGCCAGATGAACACAAGAGAAGTGTTATAAGCTACGTGACAGATGATTATGAAATCATACGAAAAGTGAAATGTGCATGTGAATATGTGAAGTGATATGAATATAATGCCCATGTTATATGATACGAGAGCTAATAGGTATAGTTGGCATGCCAAGAGTCGAGGGTTTACCTATGTCTTTCGAGACATATGGACAGTTTACCTAGGTTCTTCGGGACCTATGGACAGTTTACCGAGGATCTTTATGACCTCTGGACAGTTACCGAGGATCTTTATGACCTCTGGATAG